TTTGGCCCAGTGCTGGTTCTGGGGCGGTTTGGGTCTAAACTGGTTCTGGCTGTCGAGTGGTTTTGGTTTTCCTGCTTTTCAGGGAGACGCCGCAGAGATAAGTCATGATGTCATTTTAAGTGTCTCTTCAACATGCCTATAAACTTTTCTGAGTTTTTCTGAGGAGCCGTTTCCCCTCACAAAAACAACCACAGGGTCTTTTTTCCTGCCTCCACTTCAGATGATGAACAGCATTTCAAATATATTTGGGTTACATGACCAAAAACATTTCATCTGAGCAGTAAAAATCATTCCATAATCTAACAAGTGTCCAATCAGATTACAGAGATCCTCTCTAGCTCCTCCCTTTTTTTCCAAATATGGTCATCTCTTGCTTAAACAAAACCAAGAAGGCGTCAGGCAGCAGCTGACTTCACAGCTGGCTGTAAATATTTTGAATTTAATTGCTTGGCAAGAAAGTGACCAAGATATTTCAAGATGATGATAAAAAATGTCTGCCAGATCGAGGCAAAACTGCTCAAACTTTTGTGAATCTCAAAGAAACTTTAAGTGTCAAATTTTACGTAAAATTCAGCAGAAATATGTTTTGTCCAATCACATTCCAAATATCCTCTCTAGCCACGCCCAGTTATTCCATATATGGCCACATTCAGCTCCAACAACTCCAAGATGGCGTCAGGAAATAGCTGCTGGTTAAATGGTTGCTATTTAAATTTTTAGGTAACTCTATAGAAAACAGGAAAGCAACACAAGTTTTCAACAAACTTTAAGCAACAAATTTAAAGTGAAATTCAGTAGAGAATCCATATCTGTCCAATCAGATTGCAGATCTGCAGCTCCTCCCATTTTTCCCAAATAAGGTCACCTCAGGAAGCGGCTGTATTTCTGGGCTCACCAGTTCGTTTGGCGCTGTGCGCCGTCCCGCCGTTCTCCCCCGTCAGCGAGCCTCGGCTCGAGTGGAAGGTCGGCCTCTTGAGTTTGGAGCCCGACGGCGCCCCCTGCAGGAGGACGCAGCAAACATCAGCTGGGAAGACTTCACTTATCAACAGCGCTAATAACCACCAACACCTTTCCTCCACAAACACCACGGGTA